ATGTTACTGGATTCATCCGATAACATTGAGGAGTTTACCACATCAGTCACCGGCTTCATTAATAAGTGCATCGACGACGAGAAACCATGGATTACAGGCAATATCCGCACTGAGCTAAAAGCTAGAGCTGCCACTTTCAAGGACCAGGGCACTAATCCGGACGCTTATAAGAAATCCTGCGACGACCTCCGACGAGCCATCAAACAGTCAAAACGTCATACAGGACTAAGATCGAATTCTACTACGCCGAATTCTACTACGCCGGCTCTGACGCGTACAAAGGGAAACCCAGCCGTGAGCTGCCCAGTGACGCAAGCCTACTAGACGAGCTAAATGCCTTCTATGCTCGCTTCGAGGCAAGCAACACTGAACCATGCATGGGAGCACCAGCTGTTCCGGACGACTGTGTGATCTCGCTCTCTGTAGCCGATGTGAGTAAAATGTTTAAACAGGTTAACATTCACCATGACGGGTATTCAGAGCATGCGCTGACCAGCTGGCAAGTGGCTTCACTGACATTTTCAAGCTCTCCCTGACCCAGTCTGTAATACCTACATGTTTCAAGCAGACCAGCATAGAGCCTGTGCCCAAGAACGCTAAGGTAACCTCTCTAAATGACTAACGCCCCGTAGCACTCACATCTGTAGCCATTAAATGCTTTGAAAGGCCGGTTATGGCTCACATCAACACCATCATCCCAGACACCCTGGACCCACTCCAATTCGCATAACGCCCCAACAGATCCACAGATGACACAATCTCTATTACACTCCACACTGCCCTCTCCCACCTGGACAAGAGGAGCACTTACGTGAGAATGCTGTTCATTGACTATAGCTCAATGTTCAACACCATACTGCCCTCTAAGCTCATCACCTAAGTTCAGGACCCTGGGACTGACCACCTGCCTCTGCAACTGGATCCTGGACTTCCTGATGGGCCGCCCCCAGGTGGTGAAGGTAGGCAACAACACATCTGCCACACTGACCCTCAACATGGGGGCCCCTGAGGGGTGTGTGCTTAGTCCCCTCATGTACTCCCTGTTCACCCACTACTGCGTGGCCGTGCATGACTCCAACACCACCATTAAGTTTGCTGACGACACGACAGTGGTTGGCCTGATCAAGCCATAAGACTGCTAAATAGTTAAATAGTTTAACCAAATAGCTACCCGGACTATCTGCATTGAGCTTTTTTGCACTAACTCTTTTGACTCATCAAATACGCTGCTGTTACTGTTTATTATCTATACTGTTGCCTAGTTGCCTAGTCACTTTATCCATACCTATACAGTATGTACATATCTACCTCAATTACCTCGTACCCCTGCACATCGACTCGGTACTGGTACCCTGTATATATAGCCGTTATCGTTACTCGTGTATTTATTTGTTGTGTTATTATTTTTCAATTGTTTCTAAATTTTTCTCTTTGCATTATTGGGAAGGGCCCGTGAGTAAGCATATCACTGTTAATCTACACCTGTTATTTACAAAGCATGTGACAAACAAAATTTGATTTGATTTGGTTTGGGTTAAAGGCATTGAGGATGGTCAGATTAAATACATGGATCACTTTCCTCTACACAGATGAGAAGTTGCTACTTCTCTACAACAAGAGAGACCTTTATGAATGCTAATCCCTCTTTCATTAGGCACAGGCCCTTATTGGTGTTACCAAACGTACAGTAACATTACCTTTAGGAATGCCATGTAGGGTGTTTGTCTTGAGGAGACACCACTAATATGACTGATATATCATGTCAACCACCTCCAGGCATGGCCATGTGCCTGGGAAGCCTATCTGTCTGTCAGATCAGAGGGGTGGGAAGGTCAGTCTGTCTGTCTGTCTGTCTCGTTGTGTACATGGTATGATTGGCTATGATACAGTGACAGATCCAATGTGTGTCAGTGTTGACATCCGATGAGTGGAAGACAATATGTGGGTGTTGAGGTGTTGCACGCACAGAGGTACACACACAAACACACAGAGGGAGACACTCATATCCTGTGTTACAGAGGGTGAATCACAGAGATTTAGGGTTGAGAAGGACTTCTCTAATGACCTTGTAATGTCATTACAGGTTTTCTTCTGGGTCAAAATGGGGCTTAGGTTGTGGGCGTGGTCACTTGTGCGGTCGCCAAATATACAGTGCTTTCAGAAAGTATTCATACCCCTTGACTTACTCCACATTTTATGTTACAGCCTGAATTGAAAATGTATGAAACTTTTTTTTTTCTCACCCATCTATACTCCATAATAACAAAGTGAAAACATGTATTTACAAATGTTTGCAAATGTATTGAAAATGAAATACAGAAATATCTAATTCACATAAGTATTCCCACCCCTGAGTCAATACATGTTAGAATCATCTTTGGCAGTGATCACAGCTGTGAGTCTTTCTAGGTAAGTATCTAAGAGCTTTGCTCACCTGGATTGTACAATATTTACACATTATTATTTTTACATTTCTTAAAGCTCTGTCAAGTTAGTTGTTGATCATTGCTAGACAGACATTGTCAAGTCTTGCCATAGATTTTCAAGCCGGTTTAAGTGAAAACTGTAACCAGGCCACTCAGGATCATTGAATTTTGTCTTGGTAAGCAACTCCAGTATGTACAGTGGGGAGCACAAGTATTTGAGACATTGCCAATTTTGCAGGTTTTCCTACTTACAAAGCATCATAGGTACACTTCAACTGTGAGAGACGGAATCTAAAACAAAAATCCAGAAAATCACATTGTATGATTTTTAAGTAGCTGTTGGCGCAATTATTAGAAAATGGAAGAAGTTCAAGATGACGGTCAATCACCCTCGGTCTGGGGCTCCATGCAAGATCTCACCTCGTGGGGCATCAATGATCATGAGGAAGGTGAGGGATCAGCCCAGAACTACACGGCAGGATCTGGTCAATGACCTGAAGAGAGCTGGGACCACAGTCTCAAAGAAAACCATTAGTAACACACTACGCCGTCATGGATTAAAATCCTGCAGTGCACGCAAGGTCCCCCTGCTCAAGCCAGCGCATGTCCAGGCCCGTCTGAAGTTTGCCAATGACCATCTGGATGATCCAGAGGAGGAATGGGAGAAGGTAATGTGGTCTGATGAGACAAAAATATAGCTTTTTGGTCTAAACTCCACTCGCCGTGTTTGGAGGAAGAAGAAGAATGAGTACAACCCCAAGAACACCATCCCAACCGTGAAGCATGGAGGTGGAAACATCATTCTTTGGGGATGCTTTTCTGCAAAGGGGACAGAACGACTGCACCGTATAGAGGGGAGGATGGATGGGGCCATGTATCGCGAGATCTTGGCCAACAACCTCCTTCCCTCAGTAAGAGCATTGAAGATGGGTCGTGGCTGGGTCTTCCAGCATGACAACGACCCGAAACACACAGCCAGGGCAACTAAGGAGTGGCTCCATAAGAAGCATCTCAAGGTCCTGGAGTGGCCTAGCCAGTCTCCAGACCTGAACCCAATAGAAAATCTTTGGAGGGAGCTGAAAGTCCGTATTGCCCAGCGACAGCCCCGAAACCTGAAGGATCTGGAGAAGGTCTGTATGGAGGAGTGGGCCAAAATCCCTGCTGCAGTGTGTGCAAACCTGGTCAAGACCTACAGGAAAAGTATGATCTCTGTAATTGCAAACAAAGGTTTCTGTACCAAATATTAAGTTCTGCTTTTCTGATGTGTCAAATACTTATGTCATGCAATAAAATGCAAATTATTTACTTAAAAATCATACAATGTGATTTTCTGGATTTTTGTTTTAGATTCTGTCTCTCACAGTTAGTGTACCCCTATGATAAAAATTACAGACCTCTACATGCTTTGTAAGTAGGAAAAACTGCAAAATCGGCTGTGTATCAAATACTTGTTCTCCCCACTGTATTTGACCTTGTGTTTTAGGTTACTGTCCTGTTGAAAGGTGAATTTGTCTACCAGTGTGTTGGAAAGCAGACTCAACCAGGTTTTCCTCTAGGATTTTACGGGTGCTTAGCTCTATTCCGTTCCTTTTTATCCCCCCAAAAACTCCCTAGTCCTTGCCAATGACAAGCATACCCATAACATGATGCAGCCACCACCATTCTTCAAAATATATGTGTTGTGTTGGATTTGCCCCAAACATTCCACTTTGACATGATGGGTTATTGTATGTAAGTCAGTGGCACAAAATCAGGCACTGTACATTTTAGAGGCCCTCCTATTGGCCACAGTGACAAGAAAGGCACATTTCCTGCAATTCTACACATTTTGCCATGTGGCTGAGAGAAATGCTTGCAGTTTTAAAGCTATTTTCCTGCGATTCTACACATTTTGCTATGGGCTGAGAGAAAAATGTGCAGTTTTAAAGCTAATTTCCTTCAATTCTACCAATTTTGCCATGGCTTATGCTATCTGAGTGACTCAAACATTATAACAAAATCAATGGGGGCCCCATGCCATTACAAAAATACTGCTGAATGCATTTTTTTAAAAATATTTTTTATTCTCCTTCAATGTATAGGCTATAGGTCCATCAGCTACATTTACTCTTCAAGGGAAATTTTAGCATAAAAATAACTTTACCAGACTCCTATGATTATAAAACCTCCATGAAGTGCTTATAACTGCCATATCTCTTTTTTTTATCTAGCAAATGTCACCTTGCCAATCATTCAATCTGGGTGGGAGGGGAAAGATGATCAGGTGACTGCTCGTTTGGCTGGAGGCGGTTTGACGCGCCGCAACTGCTGTGTGTTATAAAGAGCCCGGTCTAGATTAACCTGTCCTGTACGGTTATGGTTCTGTGTATGTTTGTGTGTATGCACAGCGTTGTCTTTAAGGGTAGCACACACACACCAGACTAAATATCACTTTCGTCTGATTGGCTGTCTCTCTACAAAGGGAGCCGCTAGTCTTCTGCCCACCCACTGTTTATAGCTCTCCTCTATCAGAAGTTCAGAACTTCCTTCCTTCCAGTGAGAGTAGTCTATTCATCTAGAGCACCAGGACTCATCATGGCAGCTAATGATTACCGAGGCTACCTGAGGAACCACGCCGACATGGAGGGCGCTCAGCCCCGCTACCACCCGTCCCATGGCTCGGAACCGACCTATAGACCTTTTATATTCGTTACTCTGGCTATTATGGGATTGCTGCAGATTGCATCGAGTGTGGCGATCTTGTTACACTTGACAGGTTATCTCCAAGAGGTAAGACACCATTTTCAAGACGCACAACGGCTGATAACAGAACTATGCGACACACTTGCGAGTTGCGACATGTGCACAGGTGCGCGTCAGCATTTTATCTTGAACTTGCGGGTGGCTACTTTAAGTTAGACTTTAAACAAGCAACCTGACAATAGGGTAGAACAATCTGCAAAGTTGTTGCACAGTTTTTAAATTGAAATGTACTTATATTATGTTTAAAATGGAGAGTGAAAAGTAGGCTACATTAAACAGTTGTGTTCTTTGCATTGCTTTGGAATAACCAAACATATGGCCTTTTGCTGTTTCAAGCGCACAGGGTTGAATGTCATTCAAGCTTGCAGGTTTGCGGATACAGTTTGGGCTCGCAACTTCTTGAAAACTTGCAGCTGAGGTGCGCGAGCACTTTCATTTTGAACAATCTGTGCTCTCGACACCAAGTGGCGGTAATTCTGTGAACTTGTCCCCAATAGTAAAACCAGCTGTCAGCTCTGAAATAGCATATTTCTCTACTGATGAGATTGTCTGCCCAGATGATAAGGAGCTAAGTTATTTCAGCAAGCCAGTATTTTCCATGTCACAGACCTTATCAAAGCAATCTCCCGTTTTCACAACGATAGTGAGTGTTGCCAAATGGGGATAGTGTAGCCTATATAAATATTTAATTCAAGTAATCTTGTTCGTAAAATACATCTGTTTTTACTTAAGCAGGCATGTTTACTCTGTTATTTACTGTTTTCAGTCGGAAATGTATCAATCATAAACGGACAATAAACAAATGTTTCTTAAAGTGTATGATGTAGTTTGGGGAGATGGGCTGCACCAAGAGGTTTTAAAAACCAACCAATAATCTCTCCTAAAGATGTTTAACTGTTCTCAAATTCAAATCCAAATTAAAAAATGCTTTATTGACATGAAATAATTACACATTGGTATTGCCAAAGTAACAATACACAATATAAATATGTATCAGCTTTTCTTAGCTCCAGGTCTTCTCCAGTCAAGCCATTGAGCCCTCAGCACAGAGAGAGACAGAATAACATGTCAGTGATATTTATCTGCTTCAGTGCCAGTCAGGTAGCTAACCTGTCATGTACCACTATCACCCTGCACAAGCAGTCTTGTGTAAGACAGCATTAACATTATTTCTGGGTTGTTATTATTGCTTTATGGTGGTTTCTAGAGTTGAATGATAGTCATGTTTCAACAAGCCAAACAACAAGAAGACATTTCAGTTCCATCATGATGCTCCATCAGTCTTCACACGTAGGCCTAATGAAGCCCAGCATGGGGTGTGTGTGTATGGAGAGAGCCTGCTGCAGAATGTCAATATTGGTTTGACCTGTCTTTTGGCATAAACACAGTAGTGTGTCGGGAGCTTGTTAACTCCTGGAGACGAGCCCAAGTAGGAGCGAGAGAGAGGGGGGCGGAGAGAAGGACAGAGATAGGGGGGATTGATGAGAATGAGATATAGCTAGATAGAGTTAGGGAGAGAAAGAGAACGGGAGACCGGCAGAAAAAGAGAGGGAGAGAGATGGTAGTGATGGGGGGAAAAAACGATACATTTACATATCAGGATATTATTTTTGGCAATGTATCGTTTTAACAATATCGTTGCGCTAGTTGGCTGTGCCTGCATCAAAACTCCAGCTTTTTTCCTTCATAGCTTGTTCTCCATCTTCTTTTTAAATAGGGAGCCAATTTGTTTTCAGCACTTTTATTTCCATGACTGATCAAAACAAATTTTTCTCATGGCTCTCTTGTCTCTGCAGCAGCCATATAGTGAGCAATATGTTTGCAACATCGAATCACAATAAAATCACAGTATCGAATCACAATACATATAGAATTGTGAGAATCGCAATACATATCGTATCGGCACCTAAGTATCGTGATAATATCATATTGTGATGTCCCTTGCAATTTCCTGCCCTAAGAGATGGTTCAGATGGTAGAGCATTGCGCTTGCAACGGCAGGGTTGTGGGTTTGATTCCCACGGGGGTTTGATTCCCAGTATGAAAAAGTATGAACATTTATGCACTCACTACTGTAAGTCGATCTGGATAAGAGCTTTTGCTAAATGACTTAAATGTAAAAATGAGAGATGTATTTGGCACGAGGACCAGATTGAGTTGGTAAACGGATGCAGAGAGAACCTTTGCTGTGAGCCACCAAACCACCTATTAAAGTCTCCCATTCAGACTGTCCTGACCTGGTCCTGGAGTAAGGGACCGTCTGATTGAGCTGAATTAGCTCTCTACTAAGTGAAGGGAAAAAGAGACACTGAGCCGTTCTCTGAATAAACAAACAATCTTCCCGATGACAGCCCATATGGTAGCACTTTGAGGTGACTCATGATATAGTAGGCCCCAGATATTGGCACTACACCACTCGCCCTGTCTGAACACCTGTAGGAGTTACTGTATCTGATGGGGGAGCAGGAGGCAGCACAGCACCATGCCTCAGGAGGAATGTGCTGCTCTAGGCTGTTTATAAACACTCCTCAGACTCTGAGGAGCTGATAGACCAGGATGTACAGGACATCTGGTTCTAGATTGGGGTATAGGGATGGGAATGGGTATGGTTATGGGCAATAGTTGAAGAGGCCTGGTGCTGACCAGAACAGAGAACTGGCACCTCTAATCTATGGATACACTGCCTGCCAAGCAGTCACTAAATGTCAGAGTAGGTCTTCCAGGTTTCAGTCAGTGAATTGTGACACGCTTGAGGCTCCCTGTCAACAAACTGTGTCTGTTTTACTCTGATAAATTAGGGGGATTGTTAGGTAATATGTGTCTTCCTAATGCCTGTGTTTCTGTTTCCAGGTCGATCTCTCCTCCGCCCCGCAGCAGCTAATGGAGGTGAGTCGACCCCTGTCTGATCATAATAACCAGTACTCTCATTGGTCCACATTAGAGGGTTTTTACTGTACTGTTCTGTACTTCCTGGTAAGGTACAATGAATAGGCCTATGTTTGTCATTAAAGCTCAGAGATTGTTGGGTTACACTTTATTTTACAATCTTATATCAGATGTTATTTAGTTACACAATTTGGTATACAGTGGGGGAAAAAAGTATTTAGTCAGCCACCAATTGTGCAAGTACTCCCACTTAAAAAGATGAGGCCTGTAATTTTCATCATAGTCAACTATGACAGACAAAATGAGAAAAAAAATTCTCCAGAAAATCACATTGTAGGATTTTTTATGAATTTATTTGCAAATTATGGTGGAAAATAAGTATTTGGTCAATAAAAGTTTCTCAATACTTTGTTATATACCCTTTGTTGGCAATGACACAGGTCAAACGTTTTCTGTAAGTCTTCACAAGGTTTTCACACACTGTTGCTGGTATTTTGGCCCATTCCTCCATGCAGATCTCCTCTAGAGCAGTGATGTTTTGGGGCTGTCGCTGGGCAACACGGACTTTCAACTCCCTCCAAAGATTTTCTATGGGGTTGAGATCTGGAGACTGGCTAGGCCACTCCAGGACCTTGAAATGCTTCTTACGAAGCCACTCCTTCATTGCCCGGGCGGTGTGTTTGGGATCATTGTCATGCTGAAAGACCCAGCCACGTTTCATCTTCAATGCCCTTGCTGATGGAAGGAGGTTTTCACTCAAAATCTCACGATACATGGCCCCATTCATTCTTTCCTTTACACGGATCAGTCGTCCTGGTCCCTTTGCAGAAAAACAGCCCCAAAGCATGATGTTTCCACCCCCATGCTTCACAGTAGGTATGGTGTTCTTTGGATGCAACTCAGCATTCTTTGTCCTCCAAACACGACGAGTTGAGTTTTTACCAAAAAGTTCTATTTTGGTTTCATCTGACCATATGACATTCTCCCAATCCTCTTCTGGATCATCCAAATGCACTCTAGCAAACTTCAGACGAGCCTGGACATGTACTGGCTTAAGCAGGGGGACACGTCTGGCACTGCAGGATTTGAGTCCCTGGCGGCGTAGTGTGTTACTGATGGTAGGCTTTGTTACTTTGGTCCCAGCTCTCTGCAGGTCATTCACTAGGTCCCCCTGTGTGGTTCTGGGATTTTTGCTCACCGTTCTTGTGATCATTTTGACCCCACGGGGTGAGATCTTGCGTGGAGCCACAGATCGAGGGAGATTATCAGTGGTCTTGTATGTCTTCCATTTCCTAATAATTGCTCCCACAGTTGATTTCTTCAAACCAAGCTGCTTACCTATTGCAGATTCAGTCTTCCCAGCCTGGTGCAGGTCTACAATTTTGTTTCTGGTGTCCTTTGACAGCTCTTTGGTCTTGGCCATAGTGGAGTTTGGAGTGTGACTGTTTGAGGTTGTGGACAGGTGTCTTTTATACTGATAACAAGTTCAAACAGGTGCCATTAATACAGGTAACGAGTGGAGGACAGAGGAGCCTCTTAAAGAAGAAGTTACAGGTCTGTGAGAGCCAGAAATCTTGCTTGTTTGTAGGTGACCAAATACTTATTTTCCACCATAATTTGCAAATAAATTCATTAAAAATCCTACAATGTGATTTTCTGGATTTTTGCCCCTCAATTTGTCTGTCATAGTTGACGTGTACCTATGATGAAACTTACAGGCCTCTCTCATCTTTTTAAGTGGGAGAACTTGCACAATTGGTGGCTGACTAAATACTTTTTTCCCCCCACTGTAATAAAAAAGGTAATTGCCATTTCGAAGTAAATCAGATTACAGTATTTTATCAGATTACAGTATCTACAGGATATAAATTCCAAAGCAGTTTCCTTTTTGGCTTCATTCATTGATTCTTTGACACGAAACAGCTTTGTCCTGTATGTGAGTTAGCCTATGCAGTCCTATTTGGTCAAACCAGAATTTCAATAGCTAGGGCAAACTACTGTATTTCACCAAGGGAAAAAGGTGTTACTATAACAGATTACACCTGGTAAGCATTTCCTCCTATGATTTGCATCCAGGAATGAACAGTATTATCAGCATGGGGTGGTAAAACTTTAAAAGCATGGTGAAACAACATCTATATTAAAACCAAAACAAAGTTACCCATTCTAAAATGTGTGCTTAGTCGTGCTTTTCCCATGGTTCTGTATTTGTGCATACCACAGCAAATTTACACCCTAAGCCAAACCCAGCTTCAAACCCTAACCTCAGTGTGGTCAGGAGCCTGTAGAGAGGTCAAGCCATGCTCACAGTCCCTACCCACTGATCAGGGGTCAGATATGTTTCATCTCCCTAATAAAGTGAGGATTGGGGGGTAGGCCTGGAGTCAGATTTGCCTGTAGTTTACTGTATTGTACATGGGGCACCAATCAAATGATGTCATGGTTTGGCGTTGGTGATTGCTAAGTGTCCTGAGTAACCTTCACTCATCAGTAACAATGGCATACGTATGTGTGTGTGCCTTGAGTAATCTTCGCTCATCAGTAACAGTGGCGTAGAAGAGTGGTCGCGGCGGAATGCACCATTGTTGGGGTCTGTAAATCCTTTTTGGAACATTCCGCCATCTCGCTGGCACAGGTTTCCCCTGGCAACAGCAGAATCTTTCCAGGAATTAAAACAACACAGAATGAAAGGAATCCGCTCTGCTTTGCTTAGCTGTGTTTAGTTTCCCATAATGTATTTTGAATTTGCCCTTGTTGCCCCGAGGAGTGCTTAGACAAACCACCCACTCTGCTCTGCTGTCTCTGCTCTGCCTTGGACTGAGGAAGCCTCTGTGTCATCAGACTAACATCTCGGACTGGGATGGTTCCCATGTTGTAGTCTCAACCCTGCTCCAGCCTCCTGGCTCCAGGCTGCAGAGTGAACCCTGCTCTAGGCTTTATGAGGTGTGAGGCTGACAGGTCCGTTTGGCTCCCTGTGTGTTATCATAGAGCCTGCCCTGAGATGTGTGTGAGTGCATTGTGATAGTCTTCCCTGGGACCAGTGTGACTTTGCTGACAAATGAGTGGGTTTGTTAAAGAGCAGGCATTATTAAGAGCTGTCACATCTCATGTTTGCCTTTGTTAAGTGCTCTTTGATTTGAGGCAGGATCCAGACAGATTAGGCCTACAGTGGGCTGGCTGCTATGGACCTGTGGTCAGCCTGATGGCGGGAGGGTCAGAGAGCATAGGATACTCAGAGCTCAATGGGTTGGAACGGATGACTCATGGCTGTAGTCTATTGGACAGTGGACTGAACTGGGTGAAAGGTGATACAATAGAATAATACAGTGCATCACTGGAGTGGATAACTACAGTCCTGCAGTAAAACAGTTACAACCCCAGCCTGAGCCAATTCTCTGTAGCTCTGTAGCTTTCTCGCGAACATAATCCTCTCTTCCTGGTAAGGAGGTATGAGGTGGTCGAGTGTCTCACCACAAATCAAAGCTAAATGCCAGATTGTGGGGCCAGGGGGGAGTTAGTTCGTGATTTCTCCGTAGCCTTGGCCAAACTTGTTTACCCTGTCTAATTCTAAACCACTTTTATATAAACATGTTTACACAGCAAATTGTTTTTGGAAGAGAGACTGATCTTGGACTGAACATTGTACAAGTCTGTCTGCTCCTGTTTTGTGAGTAAATATACAATACTTAATATTAGTGTTATACAGGTGCATTAATGGTGCTGCAAACCACAGTGATGATCATTCCAGGGCAATAGTCTATTTTAAATTAAATGTTCTGTGCCATTCCTATTCAGAGGTGTTGTGTGTGTATTTGTGGTTTTCAGGTAATTTAAGAACAATCTTTAACAGTGTTCAAGTCAACACTTCACTTCTGTTTTTGGTATTTAATTGTATTTATTGGCTCGAGGTAAAGAGGAGATGACATTTCAGGCATACTAGGGCTGATCATAATGTGGGAAATTATACTGAAATTATAAAACAAGTTGAAACATCTACAGGATGTCTCTGTTCTGGAAGTAAGTGTCTCTAGCAGACAGTAGGTTTTCACATGGAACCCGTTCAGTGAGGCAGGCAGGCATGCAGTCTGTTTACTTGCATTGAGACTGTGTTTTGCTCCATGTGCTGCGTCTTGTCTCCAGTCTATGTACTGTAGCTCAGACTGGGGATACACATGTCATCGCACCACTCCAGGGGTGAATCTAATCAGATTTAGAAGTGGTGCCAGAACTGTGAAACGAACAGCCATCTGACAGGTGACATTACCCAGCAGCCCTAGGGTCCCAGAACCAGACCACAATTTATGGTGCTCCTCACAACTCAGAGCTCCGGGCTTAGAGGTTCACTAGGCAGAACTAATGGAAGGTATGTGGGAAACACACATACTGTACATGCACGCGTGTACACACTCAGCATAAGCTATAATTAAAATAGACAATGAAATAAGCATTGGTTGAAATATGTGGCACTAGCAACTGCTTAGAAAGTATTATGATTGGGCTAATGATAAATCACTTCTAGATAGAGGTTTGCGGTCACTAGAGTTCTCATTCTCAGCTCGAACCTTATGGCAGTCCAGGCCTCAAATTCTGTGAATTGATTCGGGCTGGGCGGGTTTTGGGCTTGCCGTGCTGTATTAAGAAAATAAAAAACTGCGTGTCTGCGCACCTTTTAGCCTACTACGGCTCTCTCTCAGCCGCAGCAGCTGCAGACACTAGCGGTGCCAGGACTCCAATATTGGCTGGGCCAGAGCAATTTGTGGCCATGATGAAACTTATTTTTCTGATGATTTGAAATGTTTCAATTTAGCGATACGCATAGGCTGGAGTGCACTCGGGAGAATGATGATCCATGAGACCATGACAGGCAGCATATCTCCGTATCAGGAGAAGCCCATATTCCAATGGCATCTGTTATTAACGCCGATACAGCGCCTTCAGAAAGTATTGACACCACTTGACTTCTTCCACATTTTGTGTTACAGCCTGAATTTAAAATGGATTAAATTGAGATTGTGTGTCACTGGCCTACACACAATACCCCATAATGTCAAAGTGGAATTATGTTTTTAGACATTTTTACACATTCA